TTTGAATTTTATGAATTCATAGAATTCAAATAAAAAAAAGTTTATCGAATTTGATCAAGTGGTTGTTGAGATATCTTTACTCAAATTTTAAAATTTTTTATTTTTAATAGGGGGTATGAATAACAAATTTAGGGGGTATGAATAACAAGTCCCTTTATTTATTGCTAAAAGTATTGTAATTTTTTCGAAAAAACTATCATCGATATAATTAAATAAGAAATCTTCAATACCAAAATACAATTTTAATATTTTTGGTTTAGTTAAAGGTTGATATACGGAATAAGACTAATTTAGAAAAATATTTGATTTCTTTTCAGACTTTTTCCAATAAAATCTCATCCATAAAAATCGTAGAAAAATATAATCAGGTAGAATATCTTTTACATCTTTATAATGTAAAATAGAATTGAATTTTATTTTGTTTATATTTTCATCATCGACTGATATGATATTATCACTTTTCGCTATTTTGGATTATTCATTTTCTATAATAGAAAAATATTCAAAAATATTTTTCTCATTGATGAGAGGTGGGGTTCAAAGTCATCGTTAACCTGAACTAAATCGCATATTTCTGATAAATTATCCAAATGTTTAATCAATGTCTTTTTATTATTTTCATTATCATCTAATTTACTTCTGATTGATTGAATATCGTTTAAAATATTGTTAGTAAATTTAGTTCGATTGTCTTTATCAAAGGCTATAGTCTTGCATTTATCGATAAACATAATAAATTCATTTGAAAAATTATATCTCTCTAGAAATACTCCTTTGTAATTAATATATTAACTAGGAATTGTTTGATTCATTTTTTTTTAAATTTTATTAAACTAACAAAAATAACCAAATTTCGTGATTTATAAAATAAAAATCAAATTATTTAATATACTTTATCTAATATCCATCAAACATGGACTTTAAACATGAATTAGAATGATCTAAAACTGTTAAAATCATTAACTAATACAATTTATTATTGAAACAATAACTAATCAAATACAGAAATATTTTAAAATAAACAAATATGTTTCGTAATTAAATAACGTAACTAATTATTATCATTAGTAAATAATTTCAAATCTAATGATTTATATTTCTTTTTAATATCTTTACGGGATAAAAATTCAAGTATATTCTCAGTAAGACTCGAAGCTATTCATTATTCTTAATTCCCCACTATTAATCTTTTGATCGACTAGACTTAAGAATATAAGATTGCTACTACATCCATCTTTACTATCAATAAATTTATTTAATTCCCTTTTAAATTCACTCTCAATAAGTTTACTAATAAATGCATTAATATCAATCTTACTGTTAACGCAATAGATAGTAAAATCTCTTGTAACATTACATTCATAACTAAAGGTTTCAATATAATCATTATTCATGACATAGATACTAGTGAAAATATTAGTATTAATACTAATATAATCTACTAAATCAACGACATCAGAAATTTCAGTATCATTTGGTTCTTCAGTAAAAACAGCAAATAAAAAAAAATTCTTCTTTTAATAGTTGTTTCTTCATCTTGTTTTATTGTTGTAATCAAAGAATATTAAAATTATAAA